GTCCAATTTAGGTCCTAGAGTTTGTAGAGCAAGTGTTCCTTGCCTATGAGCCATCTCCCCAGACTTTTTTTTTTTTTTTTTTTTTTTTTAAGATCTAAGAATCTTTTTCTTTTTTCTTTTTGGCTGTTCAAGAACTCACTATATAGTCTTGGCTGACTTTGAATTCAAAGAGATTGGCCTGCCTCTTGCCTCCCTCTATGACTGGTGGGATAAAGTTATTATTACAGCATACTTAAAAATAAATCTGTCTGCTTCTGCCTCCTGAGCACTAGAAATTAAAGGACTGTGCTACCCATGTCTTCTTAGATAAGATTTAGATAAGAGCTGCCATTAAACGTGTTCACTACTATGTCCTTCCTAATTATCAGTGCGCTTTAGATTGTATACAATGTTATTCAAATGAAAAGTGGGGCCTGGTGGTGGTAGCACAGGTCTTTACCCCCAGCACAAAGGCAGATGGATCTCTGTGAATTCTAGGTCAGGCATCCTGGTCTACATATCAAATCCCAGGCCATTAGGGCTACATAGTCACACCATATCTCAAAAAAAGAAAAGAAGAAGGAAAAAAAAAAAAAAAGGAAGACATTAGTCAGTGTGATCCATAATCATAACAGGCGGCTGTTAACATCCAGATGTCGAGAACCGTGCCCTAACAATTCTTACTCAGCAGTTTCAATTTAAGCCTGCTTACGGCCAGCAAACACAGCACAAAGGTCAAAGTAGAATTAGACCATGTGAAATCCAGAAATGACTTTGGTGATAACTGAATTGAACCCTTTCATTTTATAAATATACTGACATCCAGATTGGTCAACCCAGTCAGGTGTGGGGGCGCTGCCTTCTATCACAGCAACTGGGAGACAGAGGCAGGTGGATCTGAGTTCTACCCAGTTCCAGGTGAGCTACACAGTTTGAGACCTTATTGAAAAAAAGGAAGAAAGGAAGGAAGGAAGGAAGGAAGAAAGGAAGGAAGGAAGTTAGGAGGGAGGGAGGGAAGGAAGGAGGGAGGAGGGAGGGAAGGAAGGAGGGAGGGAAGGAGGGAAGGAAGGAGGGAGGGGGAGGGAGGGAAGGAGGGAGGAAAGGAAGGAAGGAAACAAACATCTTATTTGTGTTGGTTCCATGAACTCGATATGAGGCAATCCTGGCTCCTGGAAAATTTAGAGATAATTAAGTAGGATATGATACAAAAGTAACAGTCAGGACATACAATATAAAACTAAAGTGTAAAGCTCAAAAACTTCATCAAGGAGCCTTTGAGATGGTTTAGGGTCATCAAGGAGCCTTTGAGATGGTTTAGGGGATAAAAGCTGCTGAATTTGATTGGAGTTCAATCCCCTCCTCAGGACCCACACATTGGAGGGAGATAACTCACTTCTGAAGGCTGTTCTCTAATTCATTTACAATCACACATAGAATAAATAAATTATTAAAATGTGGTCAAAAGAGAATTAATAATTTGATACCAGTCTGAGTTACACAAAGAGAGAGACCCTTTCTCAAAAAAGGGGGAGCAGGTGTAGAAGTGGGGAGATGACTGGGAAGTTAAGAATACTCTTCAAACACCAGACTTCATTTCCCAGAACCCATGTCAGGTGGTTCACAACCTCTAATAATTCCAGTTCCAGGGAATCCTGTATCTCTGGCCTCTGTCAACATTCATACTCATACACACACACACACACACACACACACACACACACAATTAAAAAGATAATGAGGCATGGTGGCACACACCTACAATCCCAGCACTCTGGCAGGTAGAACCCTGTGATGATGACAGCTTGGTCCACAAAGTGTGTCCAGGACAACCAATGCTACATGGAGAAATCCTATCTCCCCTCCCCCACCAAAAAAAAAAAGATTGAGTAGTTGACTACATAGTACTTCGAGATAGTAGTTGAAATATCAATGCACACTCAGGAATGAGTAGGTTAAGCAGCCATGCTTAACTGAACACTGTATGATACTAAAATGGATTTGATTAATACAAAAGTAAACATAGCAAAAGTTGCAAAAGTGGAGTAGGAGATGCTAATAGTTTAATTATCAACAGTGTAAATGTTGGCCATTAGCATTTGGGTGGAATATTAAAACATGACACCTTTCCAATTCTCTCATGTTCCTGAGGCTCTAAAGAGAATATAATAAATTATGTCTGGGCTTGGTGGCTCACACTTTTAATTCTATCACACAGGAGGCAGAGCCAAGCTAAATTTCTGAGTTCAAGGCCAGCCAGGGCAACTTCTAGAGTCTCTAGTAAAAAAGAAGTAAAGCAAGAAAGAAAGGAAAAAAAGAAGGAAGAAGGTAGACACCACCGCTGACGCTGGAAAGTTTCCTTTTTTTTTTAAAGAAGGTCTCAGGTATTCTAAGCTGGGGGTATTCTAACTCCAGATGTACTCCAGCCTCGACCTCTGTAGAACTAGTTACAGGCTTGCACTACCAAGCCCAGTTGTGTTCTAATTTAGAAATAACTATCCTCACAGAGGAGGACAGTGTTAGCATGTACTTAGAAAACCTCCCCAGACTCCTACAAGAGTTTTCTGAGGAATTAAAAATCACAAGAAACCAGGCGTGCTGGCGCACACCTTTAGTCCGAGCAGAGGCAGGTGGATCTCCGAGTTACAGGCTGTTACACAGAGAAACATTGTCTCTATTAACAACAACAACAACAACAACAACAAATCATCACAAGAAAAAGCAAATTAGACCTAAAAACGAAAAGAGAGAAGCAGCAAAGGTAGTATTTGGCTAGGCCTGGATGATGGGAGGGGGAAGGAAGCCATCAGGAGGGAAGACTTTCAACCACAAAGGACAATCCATTTTTCTTTTCAAGGAAAACAACACTAAGGCATTATCTAAGCCTCATGGAAATGAGCAGATTCCTCCTCTAAGGCCTCAACTAAACTGAATGGGTTTTCACGTGTGCCTGTGACTTGGGAGTTGGCAGTCTGGCAGGAGAGTTCATAGGCCCAACTTGTTGAGAGAACCCACATGAAACTCAACCTTTGTTCTTTAATGATTGCCTGGGGTCTGACAGATATGACATTAAACTTTCGCAAAGCTGTTTAAAACCATAACGATGTGGAGAAGCAGACACCTCCAGTATACAGGTCATAATGGGTTTTCAAAGCACCTTGTGGCAAGATGACCATAAAGTCACTTGGGTGGTCAAAAATGAACTGTGAAACAGAATGTTTTGGATCATTACCACCAAATGGAAACAGTGAACAATTTGTGCAAAATTTAGGACACACGGGCAACTTATTTTATTTTTTTCTGATTGTAAAATGAACAATATTATTTTTAAGAAATAATGAGGTTTAATTTTTTTTTTTTAAATATATAAAGGTGTCTTATGTCAACTCATGAAAAAGTCCAATAACTTGCCTGGTTCTAAACTAGACTTTTCTTTTTTATAATCCTCCCCCACAAGTTTTGGTCGGAATTAACTTGCAAGGCGGGGCAGCTGAGCTCAGGGCAGCCACTGCGCTTACCTGTCTGAAGTGGCCATTTGAATCCACTGCTGTTTAGCTCTGTTTCTCAGAACTTTCTAGACACCTCGCTTAGCTGCCCTGTCGTGAGTGAAACGTAAAGGCCGTGTGACTCGAGGGCTTACGCGGAGGGCACAGAAGCCAGAGGGAGGAGGTGTGGGCAGGTGGACGGGAGAGGCTGCAGCGCATCCGCGTCCCTGAGGCCAGCCTGACAGATGCGACAACCCGGGACCTCTGAAGCCCTCCGCTCCACCCAGGAAAGCGGCGCGGGGGCCGTGCGACCTGACAAAGTTCCGCGAGTGAGAATGCCCCCCGGGAGCCACAGCAGGGCCTGGGATCCAGCGGTCTGAGCGACTGGCGAGCCTGGGCAGGGGCTGGGCCGGGCAGGCGGCGTGCGGGGCGCCGACGGTTGGTCGTGCGGGCCCTGGGGTCGAGACGCCTCCCCACGGGGCTCGCGTAGGTTTGGCTCGGTCTCCACGGTCCGCTCGTTTTTTTCTTTACCCCGGCGTTTCGGTGTCCCCCGCGGACAGCCCCGGAGCCCCGAGGTAAAGAGCCGCCTCTAACCGTCGTCGGGGACGGCGGGGCTTCGCCTCCCAGCCGCCGGCGACGGCCTAGACGGCGGGCGAC